AGTGCACAAGTATGAACCTCATCCTGACAATAAGCTTTAGCCCAAGTACAGGGCATCGCGATATTATGCCTGGATCATCGTTACTTGGGGTAAAAAACTGACGAACGAGTATGTCATGTGATGACGTCCACAAAACAAGACTGAAAGAGACATCGCTTCCTTCAGCTGTTCGTTTCCATGATTATCAAGTTTTTGGTTTCTTGGAGAGATGCACCGTGAACATTGTTGTATTTGAGCGTAACCAAACTTACACAGCGTAAAAGAATCTTTTGTATCATGTCTGTTTAGTCTATGCTTGTTGAATAAGTGAACATGTCAAACGCAAATTCATTACCATCAAAAACAATCAACAGCAGCTCTTTAGTCTATACTTACTGATATACCTTTTATCACTTTGCATATTAAATTATCACAAACACAAGTCACCTACTAATGAATAATACTTTCTTCACCTCGATGACTGCTCAGTCCTGATCTAGACGTTGAAACTTATTCTAAAAACTCCCCTCCTTCAAATGAACCATGTCGATCCGATATAGAAACGAAATCGATCCATACGTGAGGAATATTGTATTTCTTTTTTTCACAAGTTGTGTACTCGTTTCTTTCCTTATTTGTTTCATATCTTACTTGATGTCGTTGGAGTAGTATTTCCACCAGCATGGATAATTATTTCCTTTCACCGTTCCAACATACCGTTCGTATAAATATAATACTTTTCATAACACTCATTTGATGAACAATTTTAAAGAAGACCCAATATCATATAATCAGGTGTACATGGAAATTATTCATAATGTTTTTTTCCATTTCATTCCAACTCCAGAAGTGTGGTTGGGCGGAGGTGCAGGCAGTTTGGCATTCGAAGTGCAGAGTTTTGATCGAAACTGAATGGCATACCAACGTCACTGCTTTGACCGTTTCTTGTCTTTCAGTGCGTTTTACAGTTGTAAAATGTGCATGGCGAACGAACTACGAACTGATCATTCGTTCAGAATTTGAAATAACGCGCGAAATTTATGAGAATATTAAAATTTTTCTATCGAGAAAATAATCGCAGAAATAATTCAGGAAATTAAATAGGCAGGGCCGAGGTTCCGATCTTTCTAGTTTTCAGCAAAATAAATTCGTTTTATGACATAATAATCACAGCATCCAGTGTATACAATTTTTATTTCAAAGCAGATGAATTATCCTTACTCATTATCATTTCAATTGCGAAGTGATAACTGATTCATTTTGCATCAGAACCACATCGATGGTGCATTATCACTTAGCATCAATATACTTCTGCGCAATCTTATTTCATACCTCTCTCGAATTTTTTTCCATGATTTCTTAAGGAATTTCCGCTGTATATTTCATAATTTCATCAGACTTCTCATTTAATTTCCAATGCAATCATTTAAGGGTGCTAAGCCGCTGAAAGGTTCTCAAGCTATGGAGCATTATATGCCGGAAATTTTCTGGCACGACAGGAAAGCGTTATTGTCCGTGCACTTCGGCAGCACAAAGAATTCGGGCGATACTTATAAGGTATGTGTCATGAAGAAATTTGCATTTCTCTATTGTGATACTGCTTCGAAATTCATTGATAGATTACAATGAAGTTGAAAAAATTATCTTAAATTGAATGAATGTTACGATGATTTATATGCTAAATGAGTGAGCTATTGAAGCGTGTCAATCTTGCAAATTTTTAAGAGGAAAAATTGAATTTTGTTATTTCATTTGAATAGTATTCACGAAATAGATAGTTTGTTTTACTTGAAGATCGTCACGACAAGTGTTCAAAAAGAAGTGCGTATTTGGAGTTTTGAATTTGTAAACGAGAGCGGTGGACAAGGACGTGATGCATTGGCAGTGAATTTCGTTGCGAATTTGGTTGGCCATCGAGGTGTCGTGAATGTGGCTCGATTCTCACCTGATGGTTACGTATTTTATTTGATCTTTTTTCATATTACTTTTTTAAAGCCTTACTTGCCATTCCAGTGACGTTCTAATGAAGTTCTTATTACATTACCTGACTGTCCATCTTCCCATCGTCTATTCCAATGTATTTCCGATAGTGTTTGAAGTCATTTTCGTGATTGAATGTTCAGTAAATATTTTCTGTACGATCCAATTTCCTAAAATTATTTACAGTTAGAGAACAATACATCACCTTTATGAGTTAAAATAAATTTTATGAACAAAATAAATTTCAATAAATTTCAAAAAATTTACTTTGTATTCATTGAAGGCGAAATACTGGCGTCAGGTGATTGTGATGGCCAGGTGTTTCTTTGGAAAATTGGGCCTGAGGTACCGATTGCGTCTTCAATAGAGACATGTCAAATGGACGATTTACCACCGAATAAAGAGAACTGGGTACGGATGAGAGCACCGCTGAGGTTCGCATTAATATGAAAACTTTCTCGTTTCATGACTTTCTCATAGCTATAATTCTTTTGCCGATTTTTTGATTCAGTTTCATCATCGTGAATTTATTGAATCACTGAAAATGGTTTACTTAAGGCACGATAGTGACGTTTGTTCATTGTGTTGGAACGGAGATGGTCAATATTTGGCCACTGTATCAAACGATGAATCAATTGTTGTGCATAATATTAAAACAGGTATAGCATCCGCAACGACAGAAGGCATTCTTAATGAGTTTCGAATTGCTTCAGTTCACTTTTCACTTCGGATTCATTCATTAGCGAGAAGTGTTGAATACTTTGTTAAGATTCGATGGCAAAATACAAGTCACTTCAACAGAGAATGTTCATTAAGGCTCTCGTCTTTGGTCGATTCGAAATTATCGTCATTTTCCGAATGGAGTCGTGTGGGATCCGAGAGGGAAATACGTTGTGACGATGTCAACCGATCGAAAACTGGATATTATTGATGCCGCGAAAGGCAGTAAATTGAAATGCATTTGGACTGTACATATGAAGTCGAGCGTTGTTTGCGGGGAGCATTTGCATGACGAGGTATATACTTAAAAATTAGTTTGAGATCGTCTCCTGGCGGCAACTTTGGTATTTGCAAAACATTTGCCGCCAGCAGGGGTCGAACCTGCGACCTTGGGCTTATTAGACCCACGCTCTAACCGACTGAGCTATGGCGGCTGTTGGTTGGAGAACGGTCGTATAACAACAAATTGACTGAAACATAGCATTTTTTCGTTCCATAAAAATTGGAATTAAATTCACAGCTTCTTCGTTGACAATTCAGTGGTGTAATTTATTAGTAATTAAAAGCAATATTGTGTAAAAAAGTTTACCTGACTATCATTTGAATTGAATGATTGGTGTTGCAGAACTATAAATTGTTTCACGATGACCAATTGATAAGTTTTGCGAGAGGACCAGATTTCACACCGGACGGAGAATTGCTCATTGTTCCCTGTTAGCCCTTTCGACTTGTTTGATTTCTTTCATTTTTGGCAATCTGCAGTTGCTCTGTTTTTAAGTTTTATAAATGATCGGCGGAGACGGGAATTTTGAAACATCGCTCACCGTAATCAACGTGTACAATTACACATAGTTTTATATTTGCAATCGTGTTGATTGAATATTTATTATTTTATACAACCATTGAGCTGAATGGATCGAAATACTTTACGGAATTATTATTTATGTGTCATTCGCTAGCTCGTATGGAAATCATCTCGAAATCTTTGAGTTTAACGCAAGAATCAATTCAGAGTTTATTGTTTCAGAGTGCTTAATTTTGTTCAAAATGGACTTAATTTGATTGTAAGTTAATGTTATATATTTTGGTGAATAATTTCAGGTGCTCATTTAGAGATAGGTAGTTCGAATATTTACGGCACTTATATCTTTCGTCGTTGTGATTTTGACAAGTAAGTTTATTAAGTTGTTTTCAATAGTGTTTTATGGAAACTTTCGTTTGTATTTCTAATTATGTTATTTTTTCATATTATTCCCAATATATATTTATTTGTCAATAGTATTTATATTTAGTTGTCAGTAGTATTTATTCCCAATACATATTTATTTCATCTACGATAGATGTTTTGAATTGCAATGTTGTATGCGATAATGTTTTGAAGAGATCGACCGTATGCCTTTCTACCTTCACCAAAACCGACTTTGAGAGTAGCGTGTAGCCCGGTCACATATAAATTGCGAAGTGACATCTCAGAGAATGCCTTAGGGTGAGTTTGTTTGTTTCTATTGGTTTCTATTTTTTGCAGAACCTTATGTTTGTTTATTCAGTTTATGTTTATTTCCAAATATTCTCTAACCTCGCAAGATGTTTAGTCATTCGCATTATTATTGAATGTGGCAATGTCAGTATGTGTATTTCAGATTTGATTATCGAACCGTCTGGGCTGTGCTAACCAGTGATTCGGTAATAATTTATGATAGTCAGTGTGTGAAACCGTTTGCCTATGTTGGCAATATTCATTACAATACACTAACTGAC